GAATATTGATTATTGTCAAATCTTGAAAGATTTAACCATAGAGATATGAATGAACTTGAAAGGCAATTTTTAGAAATGCTACAGTTCAATATTAATGTTCCATCAAGTGTTTATGCCAAATATTACTTTGATTTAAGAACATTAGCAGAAGCGAATGATCTCTCATTTCCTAGTGAACCACTTAGCAAGGATCGAGCTCAAAAACTTGAAGCCATGTCTTTGGTAATGCAAGATAAAATTACACAAGAATGTTAACAAACGGACTCAAAAAGTGGTCAAGTCTCGATAATATGAACAATCCTGGAGGCCATCGCAAAAGTGTGGCAATCTTGTCATAATTTTCTATTAAGTATTTTTATACTATTATGCACATAATTACTTACAATTAAAACTATTTTGATAAAGAATTTGCAAATGATGTGTATGTAATTATTCCGCATTCTTATGCAATATTCCTTTGCAACATGCTACTGTAAGACATTTGATATAAAAAATTATATATTGTATAAAATTTACAACTTGTTAGTCAATTACGCCAAGAATTTATAGCATATATAACTCCTCATGGTATTCCTATGAATCTATAACAATATATTTAGTATTAGATTATGATCAAATGATTTATTTAAGGAAAGTCTGAAATATTTATAAATTGTAATTTTTGCAATAAATATTAGTCATGGTAACAGCCTTTTCTATATATTTTTAAGTGCGTTATATATTTCAATACCATCATTATTATGTTTTCAAAGTGTCCCAGTTTATAGAAAGAAATTTGATCTTTTTGTTTGCATGTCCATAGCATTCAGGAGTATAATAATTGTATTAAGTAATATTACATAGTAATTTGTTCGATAAGTAATAAATAGATTTCAAAGATGTATCAAACTTACCTGGATGAATGATGGTTATTACTTAATTAATGGTTAGAATTATCAAAATTTCACTACACCTTCCACAAGCTTTTTATATCTGGGGTCTCACTGTTTGTAATTAGCCATATCAGTGATATATAACTCAGGATCATTTGCTTTTTGTTACTTATGCATATTGGTTTTATAATTTAATAATTTCGAATAATATTAACTGCACTTTCAGTAAATTTCCTAGTTCACTAATAATTATTAGCTGCATGCCATATTAAATATGAACTATAGATTTCATCCAGTAAATAATATCAATAATACTTTTAATTTGTGGATTTGAATTAAGAACATCTTAAATTCAAATTTAAGACAATGGCCTTGAATCTTTACTTTAAGTACACTGCTATTTTGTATATTCTATAAATTTTTGCATCATATTAAAAGCCAGAATTGCAATAATTTCGTTATTAAAGATACATCAGGGATACATCCATATTATCTGAATCTTGAAAATGAGTTACTGAAGAAAATGTGCCATAATAGTGTTAGTTCTAAAATTATAATAAATTTGGTTAACAATATAATAATTTACAATAATGTAAGCTATATATATATTTCTATATACAATTAAATAATATTCATATTACAATTTTTATTTAAATATTAGGTTTTGAATCCAGGAGATGATCCGTAAGAAAATTTGTGAGGGGTTTTATTTTTTTTAGTGCTTGAGACACTGTCATTAAATGATTGATCTAGTAGAAAGTCATCTTCCTCCATAGGCAAACCTGAGCGCTTATAATCAATGCTATTTGTTGAAAGTGAAGACTCATATTTTAAATATATATCCTCTACTATCAAACCCGACCTGCGAACATATATCAATAAATAAAAAAATGTATATATATATATAGATTAAATGTCAAAATTTATGCTTAAATAATGAAAATTATAAATCACTTAATACTCATTATTTTAATTGAATGGATGCCTGGAAAACTTTATATTATATATCTTTCACCACTCATTCATATTTGAATCAATATTTACTTAACGCACCTGCTCAAAATATAAGGATCAAATGGAAAAAATGTATCCAGACTTTCATGTGCTCTTACAATTTGTTCACCATACATTACTGCCATATTATTTCGTTCATTGCGTTCCATTATTGTGTAACAATACACCAATTGCTCTGCTCGTGTAACAGCAGCAAAATTTGGGCAACAATAGGAAGGCAATATCTTAATGGATTTAATGGACATGTTACTAATTTAGTTAAATTTAATGATTGAAGAAATATTAAATCTGAAATAAAATATAAATGTAAATTTGATACCAACTAAAATCAACTAACAAAATCATACTTTTCTTTGTATTTGTTAAATCTTTATGTCGAAATGCAATAACATAAAATAGTGCCTGCGCTACTGTATAAAAGACTCCATGAGCTGATGCCCCGCCTTTACGTGATGAACCATGTGTATCAACAATAGAATCTTGCCGCTTCACATAAAATTGTAACCAAGCCGACATTTCAAAAAGCATGGCTCGTATCATCCTTAAAAAAATGGATAGATACAACAATCAAGAAAAATATGGAAAATAAAAATAGTAAGCTAAATTAACATTATAGGGTTCAAATACTTACGAAATTGGTATAAACTTTGCTCTTGCAAGTAAACTTGCGATATAACAAATGGAAACTTGTCGTTGCACTATAGCAACATTTGGATTTGAAACCTTTTTCCACAAAAAATTAAGAAAAGCCTCTGCAAATACCAACTAAAAAAATAAAATTACTTAGCAAAATGATGATCAAATTACTCATGTACATATAATAATTTTTGCACTGTAATTTATAATCACTAATAAAGAAGGAGTGCAATTAAATGCTTTTGAATAAAGTGTCTTCATTGGCTGTTTTGAGTTTAAACAAGCAAAAATTAACTTTCAAACAATGGATTAAAACATTTATAATAAATAAATGTATTGCTATTACCTTAAAACTACATATATAAAACATTATAAATTGCACATGATGCACAGCATGAGTAGGTAATATGATATCCTCAAATATTTGAATTATGTCTTTATATAGTTTTTCTGATTTCTTATAATTGAGTTCATCATTTTCATAACATTCATTCTTAATAAATTCAAATAGTTGTAACATACAACAGTCAAGAGTATTTGCAATGGGATGCTTCATCTGAAAATTATCGCTATCTGCAGTGTCCATATCATATTGTGTTTCATCTCCATCCTCAACTGTATCACATTCTTCTATATCGGATTTAGGGGCATGTACATCCAGAATAATCAATCTAAATTTGGACACATATTTGAAAACATTCAACACAAGAATTCCAAAAATATTTAAATATTTTACCTGTTAATTACTAATACAAGAATTTCTGAACGCAAGCGTGGCTTATATTTTAAAACTGACAATAAATTAAATAAGTATGATTCATTTTCTTCACAGCTCTTCTTATAGTAAGGATATGATGTTGCTACTGCTTGCATGAAAATATTACATGATCTAAAATATTGTTTTACAATTAGTAAAATTTAGTCAGAAAATATAAATGCTTCAACAAAGTTATTACTTACATTGGAATAATTGTAAAAATTTTCTCCAAAACATGATGTATTGATGAAAACACTTTCCAACCTACTTCTGTTGGTTTTCCATTTAACCAGCACCCATCTTGAAAAATAAAATAAAAAAAAACTATAAAGTATTTTTTTAATTTCATTGCATTAGTATGTTTATATTAGTTAAGTTTTATTACATTACAACATATTAAATCTGTGTAAACTCTAAAACATGAAGTTAAAAAAAAGTTCATAATGAGGTTTAATACAATATGTTGTTAAAGAAATGAGATTGCAAGAACAATATTGAAAGTTGGTTCATAATACATTGACTGTTAATTTTATTTTATTTAATTTTCACGGATATTGTAAAGTTCTAGGATAACACATTTTTGAAAATAATTAATTATTAATTTATGTATTAATCCATAAAATCCATTTAAATATTTCATATCTATATTAGCAAAGTAATATATGAAGAAACCCGTGGTTTCTACAAAAACAGTATGTAAGTTGGAAATATTGCAAAGAAACTAAAAAATATTAATGATGTAAAAATTTAGTTAAAAAAGCTTACCAAAATAGAAAAACCTAACTAACTTTTCTAATGCTAAGGGAACATGATAATTGTGTGCCGTTAATAATTCTAATAGAAAAGTCTGGTATGTATTCACTATATGGTTTGACTGTAAAGGCCAATTAACTTTTAAAATTCCCTCCACATAAGATCTTGCATCACGTCCTAATAATGATATACACTCTCTACTTGCCTCAATGAAAGAAAATAAGTTTTCATCCTAAAATTTGAAAAAAAAAGTTATTTAATTATTCCTCCAAATAGCACCTTTAATTATTCATTACTTTCAAGTCAGAATCTCGAAGTGCACACAAAATTTCCTCATACTGCTTTACATTGTCACCTTTCAATACACCTTCTAACACGGTTTTAATATCACTAGAGTTAGGAAGTTGAAATCTAACTCTGTTTGCAGTCTGAACTAAAAGACTATTTCTAGTATGTGCAGGATTCTTTAATATAGAAGAAATATTGCTTTGTCCAGATATAATAGACATTTTAGGTTATGAACATATACATATATTTATAACAACGATGTGTAACTGTAACTCCATGAAAATCCAACATATGAGTCGTATTTGATGATAGCAATATCTTTTAACACACGCTGCGTTTAAAAACAACGCAACTAATGAAAAAACACTATTTTAAGTTAACCACGTTTTATACTGCAGAAATTGTGCGAGGTGAAATTGATGAACGTCACAAATACAAATATATGCAGCGCCATCTGCGAATTAACGCGTGCCGTTGATTTTTTTGTGATCCGTTATTGTAGTGGCTCTATATTTCAATCCTGCCGTTACGTTACTTTTATCTATGGACATAAGGGATATAAAATATAAAAAGAAAAGAAGAGTATATAGTTCGCTCCATAAATAAAAGAAGAGTACGCTCACTGTGGCTATAAAACGTATGCTAATTTTTCTATGATCCCTTTCTTTTATCTACTTGCTCAAATAGAAAAAGATAGATAAGTATACGCTCATAGATAAAAAAGATGCCACATGAAGAGACCCAGGCTCTCATGGCAAACCTCTTATGACTCTATTAAATATTTCCCAACAGATGGCAGGTACAACACTGTCTGACATTTTAACATGTCAAAATTGCCAACGAAAATAGATGTCAATTTATGTAAGATTCAACAATGTTAAGAAATGTGTATATAATGCCAAATTATTTATTTTTAGTGAATTATTAACACTATGCATTTGCAATTATTTCTTTTAAATCTTTTAACAATGATTTAGTGCTTCTAAATTTAATATAATGGTGAACTTGGTGAAATAAGTGTGTGCAGAACAATATCAAAACCGGCAAGATGGTCGACTCTATTGCAGATAGGGTTCCGGACCATGTCTTAGAAGTGATATTTTCATATTTAGATTTGCACGAACTAAGAAATTGTTCATTGGTGTGTAAAAATTGGTACAGATTTTTGAATGATGAAAACAATGACGTATGGAGAATGCACTGTATTAGTAAGCTTGCAGAAGAAGCATTGAAATCTGATTTGTTATCTTCTCTCCCTACTTATAAATCAAAATTACGAGCTTTTTATCATGCATGGAATCCTAATGATTGTTCAAGAAATGTCTACATAAAGCCCAATGGATTTACATTACATAGGTAATATAATTTTTTTTTTTTTGATAAGGGCGATGAATCTTAGATTCCATTTTTTCAAATAATAATAAAATAAATGCAACGTTCTAGAAATCCGGTTGCTCAAAGCACAGATGCATCCCGAGGTAAAATAGGTTTTCGTCATGGTAGACATACTTGGGAAGTCATATGGGAAGGCCCACTTGGAACTGTAGCTGTTATTGGAATTGCAACGAAAGATGCTTCGCTGCAATGCCATGGATATGTTGCTTTGTTGGGATCAGATGATCAAAGTTGGGGTTGGAATTTAGTAGACAATCATTTGCTTCATAATGGTGATGCGCAAGGAAATTATCCATTATTAAATAATGCACCGAAATATCAAGTAAGTGGACATTCCTATGATAAATTTACTTGTTTAATAGCAATATAATTGGCAATTAAATTTATTTAAATTTCAGGTTGGTGAACGAATACGAGTTATACTAGACTGTGATGATAACACATTATCCTTTGAGAAAAATTATGAATTTTTAGGTGTTGCATTTCGAGGTGAGAATTATTTTGTCATTCATTTTGAAAGCTATATAGTTACAATTTCCAATCAATTTGTTTGTGATAAATTAAGTATAAATTTCAAAAAATGAAATCTTTATGTGAATGAAAAATCATAGCATTAGTGGAAATAACCCATGTTTCTTCAATGTTAATTAATAATAATTTTGATTATTTATTTGATTCAATTTCTTTGAATAGAAGAGTTCAAGCAGAGTTCTAATATCCTGTCTGCATCTATAAGCACCTAGTTTCACATAGACATTTAATTTACAAACAGTTAATAATTGCTCACCTGACATCCTCCAATCACCATTATAACCATGAACTCATAAAATATGCTAATTTCATTTCAGCCGGTAATATGATTATTATTGACATATTGTGATTGATTTTATTAGGTTTGCCAGAGAAAAAACTGTATCCAACTGTTTCAGCTGTATACGGGAATACTGAAGTGTCTATGATATATCTAGGTCCTCCATTAGATGGCTAACATGCACTTTTTAGACCTGTTGCAGGTCAATTCTGGAGAGAGATAAAGATCTGTACTTATAAATTACTGTTTTTTAAAATTTCTAATCCATATTGTATGAAAAAATGTCTTAAAAGAAAGCTATATAGATATTGTTTCAGCAACAAAACACCTAAAAAAGTGAGGAAATTAGGAAGACGTAAAAGTTCATTTAATAGATTTCTAATACAAAATGTAATCTCAATTTATTCAGTTTTTTTTTTAAATTGAACTTTAGATGTTAATATTATTGTTATAGAAAATATAGCAATAACAGATTCATAAATATATTTAATATTGTTGACAAATATGAAATCCATAAACAAAGAATCAGAAAGGAGTTTTTTTTATTATTTGGAATTGTGTCATATCTGAATGTTATGTAAACTAAATACAGATATATTTTTTCACGTTGTTTATAAATAAGTGCAAGAGTGGTGTTAATATTATGGAAAACATTAGAACTAAAGCAAAATCATTGAAGATAACATCTAACATTTTGCTGATTTTTACACTGTACTTCGTAATTAAATTTGACAATAACAAAATGGAAATAATAGAAAATATTGAGTTTTTAATATTTTCAATTTTTTCTTTCATTCATTTATGATCAACGACAATTTTAAAGTCATTTGCACATGCACAATATTCGAACAAATTTGCTTTTTTCTTCCAAAAAATATGAAAATGTTATATGTATCTCGAATCTCACTTTAATGTGTAAATGCATTTAGTCATCTTAGAAGTCATCAATTAGCACATAATAGTCGAGTACCTAAACTAGTTTTTAACTATTTTTAACTTTTATATACATTATTGTAATTATGTTATCTTTCATGTGGAAGTAGTTCTTATTACTAAAACAATTATGTAAGCTATATTTGCAGTAATACACTACAAATGTAGCTGTATTTTAATCATTATATAATGTTGAAACAAAAATACAAGGAAAACTTTTGAATCTACTTATAAAATAAGCTCAATAAATTTATTTTAGAGTAATGGGCAAACTTAAGTATTTTATTCTAGGAGCTAAGTTGCAATTGTATGTTTACAATTTTGACTAGAAATTTCAATCATTATTTTAGAATTTATTAATTTTAATTTAATATTAGTTTTTATTTATTTTTACTGCAAAAATATGTTTAAATATGTTTCCAAATTTGTGATGTAAATACTGTAAATACATATCTAACAACAAAATTTTGTTTATTTGGTAATCAACAATTTTTGGTTCCTCTAATCTTTAAGAAATGCTCAATTGCTCATTCATTTACACTCTTCAGCAACTGAAAAGCCCCCAATGTGATTTAATAAAGTAGTATAACAGGCAGCATTCACATAAATTTTATATTTCAATCATATATATGATCTTGCTTATCATGCTACATAATAAATAGCTATATATTATTATATTTTGATTATTTATGAAAAAAGTTTCAATAATAAGTTTTTCCAATATGCACTTCACTTCAATTGAAATAATATGAAAATAAATTATTAATATTTATCATTTTAATTCTTAAGTAATAATTTTTTAACATTTAAATAATACAGCACTCAAATCGGAAAATAATGTATGATATCTTACAACAAAACTACTATAAATAAAAAAGATTTTTAATATTTATAAAACTGACTTTTATCAAAATTTAAGATTTTCTACCAAACAGAATTTTAAAACAGCCCAGTAATACATCATTATTTATTGAATTTATCATTTCTTTAAAGACTTGCATTATTAATTGATCAGCACAAACGTAAATATGAGAGTTCTTCCTTATTATTGAAATGTTATAGAATATTATTATTTTGTTAGTAATATCACTAATACTTTGACTAGAATATCGATATCAATTACTCCTACAGACTTTCCGCCCCCACACGAAATTTTGAATGCTAACTTCTAATTTTCAGCATCAAATCAATAAAATAAAACTACAATGTAATTGCAATGAATGATATCAATGTGCAGAAGACTAGATTAGACTACTTATAATTAATCATAAAAAATGTGGATTTTAAATTCCTCAATAAAATTTGAACTTATCACTTGAATTGTTGAAATGTTTGCTTAGTAAGAATCTTATTAGTATTTAATATGAATATATGAATCTTGTAAGTAGTATGAGAATTTTTATATAACGGCAGGGAACCCAAAATATTAATTGTTTTAACACGTTTTCCATCGTAATATATCAAAAAGCTAGAAGTAATCTACATGTATAAGTGGCAAGTTGTATGAAATTCCCGAAGTTTCAAATAATCAACTTAATGTTGTAAGTGTTTATAAGCATACCGAGTTGATAAAAAGCATTATAATCTGAGATACTATTCCATATTATACAATTTAGTTATTTATTATTTTCGTCAAATGATTTAAATATTATACATTATTGAAAAACGAACAAGCAAAAGGTCAAATGTTGAATGATTTTCAGGCCCAAAAAGCGCAGCTCATTTTTTCAAATTTTGATAATTTTTAACATCAACCACTTATAGTAGAGCCATAATTTTTAATATGTTTAATATTTAAATAAGCTTCATAAAAAACATCGATTTTTTTTAACAGTTAATTACGAAGAAACTGCTCAGCCAATGTTTGCCAAAAATTAATCAGCACTATTCCCAAACGATTCTAGAACAAAAGTGGGACGAGATATTTTGTCATAATAAATATAATTATTAAAATAAAAACCTAATTGAAAAAACAGAACGGCATAACATTATTAAAAAAGAACAAAATAAAGATTCATATGATGTATACAACAATTGAAAGAAAACATGCGTGTATTTATCAATATTTTATATTCAACTAGTTGAGGGTTAAGTGTGACTATAATTTATAAATTACAACTTTAAGTGAAGTTGAGATCAGGTTCTGAAATATATATTATTGACAGTTCACATAATGGGCAAGATAATAATAACAAATCAGTTTATCAAAACTGAACAAGAAATTCAAATTGTTAACTGCTAAGAAATATTTTTTTCCATTATATAATAAATATACCATTATATAAAAAATATAATATACATGATCATAAAAATCCATCTTTATTTTTACACAGTTTTGTTTTATTCATTAAAAAAACTGATAGATTGTAAATATTATTTTACATTCCATTCTTGTCCGAGTACAAACAAAAGTACTGTTTATGTCCTTGAACAGAATCTAGTTAGAATGGAACACAGTAAATGGTAATATTCTTAAGTGCTCCATAGAAAAGGCTCATTACCTCTTCATAATTATTAATTATATAGTTATATTATATAATTTTATAAATAATGAGTTTTTAATGTTAATAATTTAAAACATTTAAAAAAAATAATAAAGTTGTAAACCAAATTTACTAGATATGCCTCAAAAATTCATTCTAAATTTACACTGTGTAAAAATATTTGGATGATTCATATATTTATTATATAAGACAAGCAGAAAAAAAATTGATGGCACTATGAACATTATTTAACTTTTTTCATTGAAAGTTTATTCACTATCATACCAAAAATTGTTCGAAATTAATTTAAATGAAGTCAGCATTCTAAATTAAATATCAATCGAAGCTAATTTTACATCAAAAAATTATATCAGTAAAGTTTAAAGAAGTTTTACCAGTCATTTTTATATGCCTCATGTATATGAGGAAAACTATGATATAGATGCAAATAAATAAGAAGCTTTCGTATACTCGATAATAAGTCTACTGTACAGACTTATTTTTTCATGCTCATTGAGTTCAGAGTGAAATTCTTAAACTTGCTATTGAGTTAAGCTCTAGCATGAAATGTATTTATGAAAAGATATCACTTGAAAACAGTCTTTGGTCTTCATTATACATGAACTTTGGTAAATAGCATCTGAACAGAATATGTTAATTCGAATATATAATTAAAATTACAAAACTAAATAATATACATATTCCATGTCATTGATAGCAATCAGTACCTTGAAAAATTTAAAATTTAAATGTTATCGTATATATAAATATATGCATATACACATATAAATACATTTACATGTGAGCTTTATATGCACCGGTTTTCATAGTGAAAACATATTTGGAATGCAATTTCGAATCTAAACTAAGCTAGGATTATTTTTGTAAATATTGTTAGTAAGTAGCCATGCATTGCAACTTCCCTAGAATTGACTACATGTCTAACCAATAAAGTGTCTAACTATTATAATGAGATCGAGAATTATCAATTGTTCCTATTTGTTAAAATTAATTCTAACTAAGTATGTTAATATAGAAATGAATTACCACAACCAATTACCAGTCATTTAATCTATATGTGTTTTACCATTTCTTTGATTTATATTATCTGTCTTACAGACACATATATTGTCACCTTGTCCAATTTCCTTGAAAGTTGATATTGTCAGGTCATTTTCCAACTTTGGCTTTACTTTGGTATAACTAAATTTTGTAAGTAAATAATTTGCACTAATGTAAAATAGTTTACACAATAATGGACATAAAAGAGCTTGGTGGGCAGATGCAATCAAACGATAATATGGACCTTGAAATGGATCTAATATTGCTGGACATAGCATATGGTTCAAATTAACTTGTGTTGGCTATAAAAAGAAATAACAATGGATTATAAATGATAGCAATAACATTACTATTTTTTATATGAATACTTACTATTGCAAAACCTTGTAATATTACAAAGTGATATATTAAGATTAAACCATATGATAAACAATTCCAACTTAAATCACGTAGGGGTTCCATATTATAAACACCTACAAATAAATCAAATTTTATATTATTTACATACAAGTATTACCAAAAATCTGTTGGGTGCTATAATTTCCAATAGTTTCCACATTTTCAATAGCACTCAATTATTAATTTATCTTTTAACTAAATCATAATATGTTGAATAATTTACTTGTTGATTTCATTTAGAATAAGACTATTTAATTTGCTTATAATAAATTAACCATTATTCGTAAATTTTTAATAATATGTAGAACATACCTCCAAGTCTCAGGAGGTAATAAGGCACTACTAACATTAAAAAATGTTGAATCCAATAAATTGCTGCTTCCATTGGAATCTGAGAATTAATTAAATTATTATTTGCCGATATATTATAAATATATTAAAACACTGTTGTCATTACCATTCTACTTTCGGTCTCTGGGAAAATAAATGCCAAAAGAGGTCCATTCATATAATTTAAATGAATTCTAAATAATGCTGTAACTTTATTAGAAGGTGGAGCTGCTAATAAATAAATCTAAAATAAATAAATATCATTTAGTTGAAACCAACATGTAACATAACAATTTGTAAAAATCACCGGAGATTAAAAAACTTGCAGCATCAAGTATAATAAATTCTTGCAGCAGTGCAATTTATTTCAGTATTACGTAAGTTTATTTTGTTTACTGTTATATAACTATGTAAAAGTAATAAATAAGTAACTATAACTGATGCAATAACGTTCTCCACTTTATAAGCTTGCTCGCAATATAATTTGTCAAATATCTTACTTGAATAGCAGTTGTCACATGGCAGGGGTTAAGAATATATATCACAGTTTTTGAAGCAAATTTGAATCCAATTTCCATACCCCAAATGAGGGACATTATAATAAGTAGCAAGCGTTTTCCTCCACGTTCAGTTCGAACATATTGTGTTGGTTGCGATGGTGACAAGTTTAAATAACCCCAAATGATTAGAACTAAGGAAAATATTAAGACTATTACGGTTTCCTTCTGACGCCATTCTGATGATAAATAATAGGCACATTCTGGTCCAGTATTACGAGGTATTTTCGGATTTACTCCACTGTAGGCCCAATCAAACCCACCCATTATTGCTAAAAATGGTCAGTTAGGTTATACAACTTGCACAATTGCACTGATACAAATGAATGTGCGTGGATACGTGTGTTTATAAATAATTAATGTGCTTTTGTACATATCATTATGTGCAAGGTCTTACATTTTAGTAATATTATTCAATAATATTAAACGTCAAAACTTGAAGCTAAAGCAAACTAGTATCAGACACACAGATTTAGATTGCATAAACATAAGCATAACTGCATTTCAAATGCAATATCGTTCAAATTTCAGCATTCACTTTTGTCTCAGACATAAATTTATGAAGTCGAAGCAGTAACCAATATGCCATTCGGCTTTTATTTACGTTTGTTTGCTACCATGGTACAGTGTTGCCATTACATAAAATATTTATTTATTAATCTAATAAGAATCCATGATAAAGGGTTGTGAACATAGATAAAAAACACGGATGGATTAACAAAATTTGCAGTTACTATTTAGATAATTAGATGGAGCTGCTAAAAAATCGTGTCTTAAGGCAAATTGCTGGAACTTACCGTACCGTAACGAAATGTTCGAGGAATACTGAAGTGTTTCAAATAGATTTTTATAATATTGTAAAATTGGCTAATATTTATAAGAAT